TTAGGACTCCACCGAAGAAGCTGTGATCCGATCGGCACAAGAAATACTAGTTTTGTTAGCTTGGTATTATAGTAGAGTCCAAAGGTTGCACAAGTACTAGTTACGTATACGTTTTAAGTCTAGGTTAGTTGGAAGGTGATCAGCGTTGCCGGAGTATTAATTAGTCAAATCTTATTTTGTTTGGATAGGAGAGTCCGTTTCAGATTCGCTTACATGGAGTCGGTTGAGAAGTGCCTGCGCGCACGTTATAAAAGCAAGGATACGCCGTGTAAAGAAGGGGAAGTTTTGTTTCATCGTGAGTTCAATAATAGTCAGAAAACGTCCTATGTCGAGGGACACCAAATATTGTCTTCGTTGCTGATCCATTGGGATTTTGTTGCTGCTGCGCGTGGAGCCGATCTAATCTACTCAACGCTAGTTTCTTTTGATCTTACGGTCTTGCATATTTGCTCGATCGGAATTTCTTGTGCTATTGCCAGTATCGTGAAAGATTGGGCCGACGAACGACTCGCCATCTAGTTGAGTCTTCATCAAGTGGTATCAGAGCTAAGGTTGTTCACGGTACTGTGTTGATTAAGATGTCAACCTCGGCCGACAAGGGTGACGAGGTTGCTGCTGATTCTGAGGAAATAGTGCGTCCAGTGTATGCGGATGATATTCCTCAAAATATTCGGGATGGTTTTGACCACACATGCAACTACATCAAGCAATGTCATGACGCGCTCGGCAAAAGGATAGATGTCCTGATCACTCGGTTCGATGGTTTGGCAGACATCATCAATATGCCGGCAGCGACTTCTGCACCACCACAGACTGCTTCGGCTGCTCCACTGTATTATGCACCACCAGCTCGCGACGGATATGCTGGCGTGCATGATCGCCGTCTGGCGGCACACCCTCATGCTGGAGATGATGGTTTCGGTGATGGCATTGACCACGCGGGGTACGCGCCACGACCACGACACTATGAGCCTCGTCCCGAAACATCCATTCGTGGTGGAGTGCATGACCGAGTTGGTCAAGCTGTGCGTGTGCCTTTGGATGATGGAATTGGGCGCATAAAAATTTCAATCCCTTCGTTCTCCGGCAAGTGTGAACCAGAAGGCTATTTGGAGTGGGAGATGCGTGTTGATCAAATTTTTGATGCCCATCATTATAGCGAGGAGAAGAAAGTTCAACTTGCTGGAATTGAGTTTACCGGTTACGCGCTAATTTGGTGGAATCAAATTTGTCGTTCAAGACATCGCCCGACGACTTGGCGAGGTATGAAAGAATTCATGAGGCGCCGTTTTGTTCCTGAGCACTATAAAAGAGATATGTACAACAAGTTGCAGCGGCTCTCTCAAGGTAATTTGAGTGTTGATGAATATTACAAGGAGATGGAATTGCTTATGATACGTACAGGGACAACGGAGGATCCGGAGGCGACCATGTCACGTTTCTTTAACGGGCTAAATATCGAGGTGCAAGAACGTGTTGAGATGGTGGTCTACTACAACATACAAGATCTTGTGCATCAAGCTGTGCGTGCGGAACAACAGATTAAGCGGCGCCAAGTCAACACAGTTCCCAGTACCACTTTGAACACATGGCGACGCTCCCAGCATCAGAGTGAGGATATCGGTCCTAGCTCGAGGACGGCAACATCAAATCGCCCTCATGGTTCCGTGCAAAAGAATGCTTCAAAATCAGGACCGTCGAGGGTTGATTCTAGTGCACAGTCGACCAATCGTTCCAGTGACATAGAGTGTTTCAAGTGTGGAGGAAGGGGACATATGAAGCGTGAATGTCCTAATGAGAAGAGAGTATTGCTCACAAAAGATGGCTATGCATCCGCGAGTGATGAAGAGGCAGTTTCTGACACTTCTAGTGAAAAATTTGAAGATGCTGAGAAGGTGACTGCTAGTTTTGAAGCTGCTGAATCATATCCGTCCTTAATGGTGCAGCATGTGCAAGAGGATCGCATTGAGGATAAGGGGCAGCGTTGGAATATTTTTCAGACTCAGTGCAAGATCAACAACACCAATTGCAAGTTGATCATCGACGGTGGAAGCTACACTAATGCAGTCAGCAAGGACTTGGTGGATGCTTTTGCTTTACCAACATGGAAGCACCCACAACCACACTGTGTCGAATGGTTATATCAGTCGGGCAAACTGAAAGTTACTCACAAGGTGCGCATCAATTTTTCGGTTGGCAATTATATCGATACAGTTATCTGTGATGTTCTACCAATGGATGCATGCCATTTGTTGTTGGGGAGGCCATGGCAATATGATCATCGAGCTACACATGATGGGAGGTCCAACACTTATTCCTTTTGGGACTCTGGAAGGCGACGTATGTTACAACCGATGTTCTCTAGTGCAATCAAGAACGATGTCTGTAAGATCCCTAAAGGTATCTTGAAGCCAAGGATGGCTTCATTTCGAGAGGGGCAGGATGATGTGACCATCTATGCCAAGACTACTGTCACTCGTCCAAGAAATATTAAAGTTACACGATGCGTGAGAAGTTGACCGTGACAGTTCCAAAAGGGAAAGAAGCTGGTATTTTAGAAGCTTTTTCATATATACAGATTGGTTCTATGATACTTCAGATTTCTCCACCGCAAGATGAAGTTAAACCAAATTTTAGGACTCCAACGAAGAAGCTGTGATCCGATCGGCACAAGAAATACTAGTTTTGTTAGCTTGGCATTATAGTAGAGTCCAAAGGTTGCATAAGTACTAGTTACGTATACGTTTTAAGTCTAGGTTAGTTGGAAGGTGATCAGCGTTGCCGGAGTATTAATTAGTCAAATCTTATTTTGTTTGGATAGGAGAGTCCGTTTTAGATTCGCTTACATGGAGTCGGTTGAGAAGTGCCTGCGCGCACGTTATAAAAGCAGGGATACGCCGTGTAAAGAAGGGGAAGTTTTGTTTCATCGTGAGTTCAATAATAGTCAGAAAACGTCCTATGTCGAGGGACACCAAATATTGTCTTCGTTGCTGATCCATTGAGATTTTGTTGCTGTTGCGCGTGGAGCCGATCTAATCTACTCAACGCTAGTTTCTTTTGATCTTACGGTCTTGCATATTTGCTCGATCGGAATTTCTTGTGCTATTGCCAGTATCGTGAAAGATTGGGCCGACGAACGACTCGCCATCTAGTTGAGTCTTCATCACATTGAAGATGTAATTTCCTTGCGTGGCGGTGGGGGATATGGGGATTGGATCGCGGCGACGGGGTGTTGCAAGGGGGCCGCACGGGAGCTTCGACGATGCTGGGCGTGGCGGCGTGGGTGGTAGTCGGCCGGGGCTGCGCGGCGGCCATGGATCTGGCAACGAGAAGGTTCTTGGATCGGGGAGGGGGTTGGTGGTGTACTAGGGAAGGAGGTGGGGGCAGCGGGCTGCTGGGGATGGAGTGGGG